ATGACAGGTAATTTGGCGTCCCTCCTGTATCTTTGACCCGGGGCTGCGGGTCACTGTAGTATAACTCAGTTGTTATCCTATTGGTACCTGAAGGGTATTTATCCCCTCCGACTGACCCCTGACTGGCAAAGTTACTTGTCAGGGAAGTTAAAGCTGGATTATTAAGAAGTTTTTGGCTAACTCGCCCCTCCTTCTTCACGTCAAAAGGGTCCTTCATCTCGGTGTGTTTTGCCCGCTTCTAGGTCGCGATGCAACCCGCGCGTTTTTTTCCAGTAAGATGCTTTCCGGGTCCTCGAATGCCAGCGAGGAGACCATCCTCAAGGGTTTTGCACTCGACGGTCTTAGCTCCACGCAGCTTACCGAACTGGGTGACTGGATGAAGTTCTACTCGAGGAAGTACCGTTGTGTTGGTGCGTTACTGTGTCATCTTTTTAAATATGCTTTCGTACATCCTGCCCGTCCATCTAAATGCTTTCTTGCCTCTTTCCTTCTAAACTAGGTGGCTAAGGTTAAAAAGTTTGTAAGTCGTAGGCGTATTCTGTGAACCAACAGGTTTAGCCAGTTTTAGTCCTATCATAAGATATACCTGAAGCCCCAGATACAAAGCACACACATATGTGCGGCCAGGCAGTCGCGGTTGCCCAAGCGCCACTAGAATACACCCCTTCCTCCACCCTCGACCGATACAGCATACATTGCTCGGGTAAGGCCGCACGCACCAATTAGGGAACGCTTGAACCTGCTCCGCAATCCTAGTAAAACAGCTGCAACTATTGTCTCACACTCCCTCAGGCATGAGTGGACGCACTCAACATTAACCCTGGCTTTGTCAGGGGGCACAGCTGTCCGAGACAGCAACTGAGAGTTCTGTGCACAATAAATCCCTCCAACAGGAGCCTTCAGCCTCTCAGCTATAACTTCGGATTTTGGTCCGATGCTTATAGTGCTCTGAATACAAACACTCCTTAGACCCTACAGGTCTGAATTAGTATTCATCAACTGGTAGCGTCTAAGTGGTGGTTGTACTTGGAGCACTACAGCCTTCAGAGATTTATTGTACACAGAACTCCCACTTGCTTTCTCAGGCGGCAGGCAGGCAAGTAACCCTTGTTGGATCCGGAACTCGGCCGGGTGGGCCTCAATCCCGGCGGCAAGGAGGAGGAAGAGTCGGTTGCGCATTCCATCAGGTGTTCGTTGGTCTCTTTCTTCCCACAAGCTTCACACGTGGAATCATCAGTTAGCTTGTACCGTCTGATGTGATTCAGCTTTGGACAGTGTCCGGTCCTAAATCTG